TTTTTATCAGACATCAGTTACTGTTTTTATTTCAGATTCACATTTAAAGATGATAATGTACAACAAAAAGAATCGTGTCTTATGTTGTTGTTACTCAAATGTAGATTTGAAATCACCTCAAAAATCACCGAGCTGTTTGACAACTACTCTTTCAAGGAAATAAAAGTCAACAAAAGGCCAAAAACAATCAAACTAACAAACAACAAAAAGCAGTAGATTCGTCTTTGCATCTCAAACTGACCCATTTGAAACAAAAATCCTTCATATTGAAAGATTTTCAAAAAGGACTCAACCTGATAATCCCGGGAACAGCTGTGATCGATGCAGCTTAGTTGACATCTTGAATCCAGGGCACGAAAGACGTCAACCTGTGGGAAAAACCACAATCGTGGACAAGGACCTGAGTTCCTATTAGAGCTGTAAATAAATCAGCCTGTTGGTGTCTCAGACATACAACTACTCTGACAGATTTTGTGCCCCAGTGAGATTTGAAGGAGCTCATTTTATATCGTGTAGAGTTGACTGAAGGAGGAACCATCGAGGTCTGACGTCTCCAACCAAAACTGAGTGTTTGCTTTTAACTAATCAGAAATCTGCACCATCGCTGTTTTATTGTTGTTTTTATTGTTGATGCTGTTACTAATAGTATTATTTCTGCCTTTGTTTCGTCTTTCTTTTATTTTTGGTTCTTGTTTTTTTCTGCAAAGCACTTTGAATCGTGTGTGAAAGCTGCTGTACGGATAAACCTGCCGTACCTGCACTATGTTCCATCAGGACATTCTCACCTTTAGAAAATGAAAGATGTCCACAGCAGTGTGAGTGTAGTTAGAACTTCCTGCTACTTTTCTTTAGTTTAACAATCTCCTGAAGTCACTTTGGTTTTGGTGAGTTACAGTCTGAGTTTCAGCTCCTGTTATGTTTGTCAAATTCAAGGTATAAGAAATTCTGAGCAGAATGGTGAGATCTGTAAATCAGCTTTAGACCGAAGAAACCCATCGGTACAATGTACATTTCAAATTCTTTTTAAATTTTAAATATGTTCATATTGTCTAATTTAATTCACTTAATGTACAGAATTCTTGCTGCATACATGCTACTATTGCAGTATATTATATAATGTTCTTCTTCTCTCCCCCCTTTTGCACAAGTCAAGGAGCGTGTCAAGGTTACATTTCACTGCGTGTTCTACTTGTATAACTATGCATGTGGCGAATAAAGAGTCTTGAAACTGAACCTACTATATAAAAGTTCAAGTTCAGCTGTTAAATTATAAACTTGCTTATTTAGAGCTCTTTAGCAGTACTGCAGGAGGTTAACTTAACTCATTATTTCAGAGTGGAGTCCTGCAGTGACCTGCCTCGGGCTCTTACCTCCTCCTATGTGGGCAGCAGGCAGCTCAGTGTGAGCTCATCAGGGTCCAAACTCACAGTCTGAGGAGAGGACATGCCAGGAGTGACTGAAGACTCCTGCAAGTGCTGCTTAAAATCTAGTACAGGAGCCACAGTCATGTGGTTCACCAGCCCATCTGCAAAGTGAGTCAGAGGTTCAAGCACTTTTTGCCCAGATCACTTTTTTAACTGTTACTTGTAATATTTAGTAATCTGAGGAATGTCTAAGGTTTTACACAGTCAGGACATACTGAGAATAAAGCATCAATTCCTTTACTTCTCGTGTTACCTGATTTATTGTTATCCAGATAAAGTCGAATTAACATTACATTGACATTAGGACCCTTTTCCTGCAGAAAACTTGCCTAGACGGCAGGACAAGTTACAACTGTTGGGTCTGTGTTTCCACAGGCCCCGCTAGTTTAGAATCAGAATCAGAATCAGAATCAGAATCAGAATCAGAAAGGGTTTTATTGCCAAATGTTGAGCAGGTTTACAACATTAGGAAATTGCTGCGGTGCTTCAGTGGAAACATAGTGTCATAAATTGCGCTTAAATAGACATGAAAATAAAAATAAGAATAATAATTAAAGTGCTACGTAGATATATACATGAGTGCAGGTGGTGATCAGTGCCAAACATGGAATGATGCAGTGAACACAGCGTAGGGTCATGTGTTAGTGGTGGGAACAGTCATACGGTTATTGTTCATGTGTCCAACAGCAGAGGGGAAGAAACTGTTCTTATGGCGAGAGGTTCTGGTGCGAATGGACCGGAGCCTCCTGCCTGAGGGGAGCAGGTCAAACAGACTGTGTCCAGGGTGAGAAGGGTCAGCTGAGATCCGAGCTGCACGCCGCAGTGTCCTGGAGGTGTACAGGTCCTGCAGAGATGGGAGTCTGCAGCCAATCACCTTCTCAGCAGAGCGCACAACACGCTGCAGTCTCTGTTTGTCCCTGATAGTGGCTCCAGCGTACCACACGGTGATGGAGGAGGTGAGGATGGACTCGATGATTGCAGTGTAGAACTGCATCATCGTCCGTGTTGGCAGGTTGAATTTCTTCAGCTGCCTCAGGAAGTACATCCTCTGCTGGGCTTTCTTGATGACGGAGGTGATGGTGGGCTCCCACTTCAGGTCCTGGGTGATGGTGGTACCCAGGAAGCGGAATGAGTCCACAGAGGTGATGGGGGTGTCAGTCAGGATGATGGGGGGGAGTGGGGCTGTGTGCTTCCTGAAGTCCACAATAATCTCCACTGTCTTCTGGGCATTCAGCACCAGGTTGTTGTGGCTGCACCAGGTCACCAGACGTTCAACCTCCCTCCTGTAGGCAGACTCGTCCCCGTCCGAGATGAGCCCAATAACGGTGGTGTCATCTGCGAACTTGATTAGCTTGACAGACTGGTGGGTGGAGGTGCAGCAGTTGGTGTACAGGGAGAAGAGCAGAGGAGAAAGAACACAGCCCTGAGGGGAGCCGGTGCTGATGGTCCGGGAGTCCGAGACATTCTTTCCCAGCCTCACGTGCTGCTTCCTGTCCGTCAGGAAGTCAGTGATCCACCGGCAGATGGGATCAGGCACATTCATCTGGGAAAGCTTGCCTCGGAGATGGTCTGGAAGGATGGTGTTGAAGGCAGAGCTGAAGTCCACAAACAGGATCCTGGCGTAGGTTCCTGGGGAGTCCAGATGCTGCAGGATGAAGTGTAGGGCCATGTTGATGGCGTCGTCTACAGACCTGTTGGCTCTGTATGCAAACTGCAGGGGGTCCAGGAGGGGGGCCGTGAGGGTCTAGAGACTTATTCATCATGAAGAAAAGAAGACTTAACAGAACATCTTCAACCCGCTAGCGAGGGAAGTCTTTAGTCAAGAACCAGCTCTTGGAGCTCCTCACCTGTGTCCAGCCCAAAGTCCTTCAAAGAGCAGCTCGCTGGCAGCTATTTATTGACAACTGTTACAAAACACAACACAACACAAGCACCTCCCACCGTGAAACCCCCCAATGGTTCTAAGACAAGGCACTATGTGTGTATGTGTAAGCATCTGTATGCATGTGCAAGAACGTGTGTGTGTGTGTGTGCGTGACTTCCAACTGTTTCTAACAACATCCTGGTCATAAAATGGTAATCTCCCCCACACCCAATATATGGTTTAATCCCTGTATTGGTTCACCGTGCACAACACAGTGAAGCCACAAAAGGGCAGGAAGACACACACACAGACACACACACTGACACACACTGACACACACACAGACACACACACAGACTCACACTGACACACACTCACACACACTGACACACACACAGACTCACACACAGACTCACACTGACACACACACTGACACACACACAGACACACACAGACACACACACACACACACAGACACACAGACACACACACAGACTCACACTGACGCACACACAGACACACACTGACACACACACAGACTCACACTGACACACACACAGACTCATACTGACACACACACTGACAGACACACTGACACACACAGACGCACACTGACACAGACACACACACACACAGACACACACACAGACTCACACTGACGCACACACAGACACACACTGACACACACACTGACGCACACACTGACACACACACTGACACACACAGAGACTCACACTGACACACACAGACTCACACACTGACGCACACTGACACACACACAGACACACACAGACACACACGCACACAGACTCACACTGACGCACACAGACGCACACACACTGACACACACACTGACACACACAGAGACTCACACTGACACACACAGACTCACACTGACACACACACAGACACACACACTGACGCACACTGACACACACACAGACACACACACTGACGCACACTGACACACACACAGACACACTGACGCACACACAGACGCACTGACGCACACACTGACACGCACACTGACACGCACACAGACGCACACACTGACGCACACACAGACACACACACACGCACACACGCACACACACACAGACACACACGCACACAGACTCACACTGACGCACACAGACGCACACACTGACACACACAGAGACTCACACTGACACACACACAGACTCACACTGACACACACACAGACACACACACTGACGCACACTGACACACACACTGACTCACACATTCTTGTCTTGCATAACGACTGAGGACCGGGTGAGTGCACTATCAAAGTGAGGACCACCATTTCTGCTACACTTGCAGACAAACCTTTGCGATTTTTGAACACTGGGTGGCTCTCTGACACCAAAAATCACCTCAAAATCTTAAAACACTCAAGTAGAAAAAAAACTTATTTTACTATCAGAATGAGGACATGGCCATAGGGTGCCATTCGGGTGATTTTTCACCAGGGGGTGCTTTTGAGTTCGTTTCTGTCTGTACAATTTTTTTCTTTTTCCAGTTACTCTCTTCTATTTTCTATTTTAGTGCAACCAAATAATGTGTAAGTTAAACAATTTGAAATTTACACATAAACAGAATACCAAATAACTTCCCAGAGAGCTGCAACATCCTTGGT